GCCTTGAACTCACAGAGATCCACCTGCCTCTGCCTCCCAAGTGCTGGGATTAAAGGCGTGAGCCACCACGCCTGGCCGTGTATGAGTGTTTTGACTGTAGCAGTGTAAGTGCACCTGTGTCATGCAATGCCCACAGAGGCCAGAGGAGGGTGTAGAATCCCCTGGAACTGGAGTTGCAGACAGTTGTTAACTGCCATGTGGGTGCTGGGAACTGAACTCAGGTCCTCTGCAAATGTAAGAGCAGCCAGTGCACCTGCTGAGCACCCCCACATCCCTCCACCCCCTCTTCCCCCGACCTTTTTTGGAGACAGTATGTCATTATGTAACCTAGGCTGACTTGAAATTGTTGCAAACTGAGATTACAAGTCTGTGCCACCACCCAGAGCTAATTCTTAATATTAACTGATTATGGGACAGACCCACTTTTCCCACCACTAGGGGGTGCCCAACACCAACTGGGGGCTGTGGTTTCAGGTTCTAGGGAGGAGACTGGAGCACCTTATCTTTTAGCTCTTCTAGAGATTGGACTGGTAAATCTGAGATGAGAAAGATAGAGGACAGAGGACAGATCGCTGAGTTCTTAGGGAGGCAGAATTGGGGCACCTGTTCTCTGGGGTCCTAAATGGAGGTAGTCGGGGGGTCTGAGAAAGAAAGGAAGAATCTGGGGGTGGCACCGAGGTTGGCTGGAAGCAGAACTGGCCTGGACAGTGGTTTCCTTTGGCTTGAGTCTGTGGGAAACAAGTGGACAGAGCAGGGATTGTTCCCCCTGGGTCTCCCCCTCCCAGTCACCCCCAGAGCTTGGCAGCCTCAGTTCTTCCCAGGCCCTAGGGACTTGAGGGCATTGGCACAGTCACTCCTCCCTAGCCCCTACTTTCTACTGGACACACAGATGCCCAGCCTCAGGACCTGGGAAAACTGCCTCAAGAGAACTGAAAGACTGGTTCCTGGTTATTGCCCGCAGATTAGAAATCCAGGCCAAGGATCCGCTACATGGCCAACAGCACCACCTGTGGGATGTGAGAGTGAAGGGCGCAGACCTGTCATCATACCCCACAGGAGGCTGAGGCAAGAGAATCTGGAGTTTGAGGCCAGCTGGGGTGTTCAAAAAGACCCTGCCTTGAATAAACAAACAGAAAAAACAGGGCCAGGCTTGGTGGTGTATGTCTTTAATCCAAGCACACGGGAGGCAGAGACGGGGGGATCTCTGTGAGATTTAGACCAACCTGGTCTTCATAGCAAGTTCCAGGTCAGCTGGGGCTTCAGGGAGACTCTATCTCAAAACAAAGCAAACAAAAAGACCAGGCTAGCCTCGATCTCATGGAGATCTGTCTGCCTCTGCCTCCTGAGTACTGGGATTAAAGGCCTGTACCACCACACACAGCTTTCTGTTGTTGTTTTGTTCTGTTGGTGATGGTGATTGTCTGCGTGTGATGGGGGCAGGAGTGGCGCTCATGGGCCACAGCACAGGGGCAGAGGCCAGAGGACAACTTTGTGGGTCGGTTCTCTCCTTCTACTTCTATGTAGGTTGTGTTGTAGGGATACATCTCAGGTCACCAGACTTTCCGAGCAAAAACTTCTACCCACTGAGGCATCTCGTTGGCCATTTTTCTTTTTTTTTTCTTTTTTCTTTTTTTGGGTTTCATCATCTGACAGTTTATCTGCATCAATTGTTATTACAAAAATCAGAAGTCATTGCAGTAGCTAGCTTCACAGTGTAACTACTAGTTATCTAAACAAAAGCTCATATCTATAAAACCA